AAGAAGTGACAGTAAGAAACACCAACTTTGATTAGTTGGTTATTTTCTCTTCAAGTTAAAGGTCAAAACCAACTCTTCACGCGGTGTTAACAAAATATTAACAATTATGTGTAATCTAACTAGAACATTAGTCACTAACGTATTTTTAAATCTAAAAAATAATAATAACTTATAAGGTTTGATCTAATGATTTAGAGTTTAACGACAGGTGGAGAAAATGTCCAAGCTGCCATTAATACTCAAACAGGAGTGATTGGTAGCTTCCTCGATAGATGGCACCACGAAAAACTTAAAATATTGTTATACATGTTAAAATAGCTCAGAAATTACATTGACTTTCAACGTTATTTTTTCAGGATCCTTTAAACAATACACATTTATGGGCTTCTAGTTTTCTGTTTGATAATAATATAACGTTTCATGCTCCATCAGGACTAACTTATCATGGAGTTTCAATAACAATAAAAGAGTTCACATGGGGAAAACAGCTGCAATACCCCCCCCCCCTTAACAGAGGATTTTCTGTATCATTGCCCATCCTTACAATAAATGTAAAATACTAACAAATGACATTAAATAAGTTGGAAATGATATATAGAATTAAGAAGTAACGGAGAATGTGTTACAAACTAACAGGTAAAGACTCCTGACTAATCTAGATAATAATAGTACAAACAAAGTCACATTATTGTACCTAAAGCGAACTTCAAAATGTCATCCAAGATGTTTTAAGGCTAAAACCATAAATCATGTAGGACATCCTTAAAAAAAACAACTGTTAACGTAGCTGGCGTGAATAAACTAGATAACTCTGAGCTCAACGTCTATATCACCACGTGGTTTCCATTATGAGCAGGACAGTGATATTAAATGCATAAAGTTTAATCAAAAACACGTGTGCTTTGTGTTTGCTGTAGTCAACAAGTATTACAGCTGCAATTTTAATCCTAGACCGCAAAGTATGTTCAGAATCTCGAGGAAAGTAATGGAAGATAAGAGATAAATCGGTAATCCCTTCTATTTCAAGCCGTTCTAAAACTTATCATCAGAGGGGTCTTTATTATAGGTCAGTTTTAGCTGCAAAGAACAGGTTATCAGGTTACTAGTCATACATTCAGTGTTCAACCTGATTTGCATTGACTTCATGATAATATAGCGAAAAATATGCTGTATATTAATTTCCATTTGAATTAGATAAATGGGGTT